CCCCCCGCCACATACACGGGCACTCTCAGACCTCCTGACTGTGCCAGTCTTTGGACCCACTCTGCAGAGGCAGAGGTGGTCATCAAGGGTATGTTTCTGAGTTCCCAACTGTGAACATCTTTAAAGAAAGGGCGTGGGAAACCTGTAGTAGAATGGTGTGGAGTTCAACCATTCAGAAGGATGGGGAACTCAATCTGGGCCTTGCAGTCCGAGGTCAGTCAGCTTCATGGGGTTCAGCCATCAGCTAACAGACCAGGGGTCTTGCATCTTCATTCTGTCTGAGCCATTAAATTGTAAATACACTATATTGAAATTTTTTTCACTGCAGACATGTTCTGGACTGCTTCTTGATTTCAATTTAATTCAAATGATTTAAGGGCCATAGACTAGTGACTACCACAGGTGGTCAGTGTCCAAGTTGTGCTTGATCTCACTGTGTTGCTGATTGTATCAGTTGGGATAAAGCATTGTGGTTGATTTGATGAGCTGTTTTCTCTGATGTTATGAAGATAAGAATGTCTGTGGGTCGTTAGAGACACAGAAGCTAGGGCGCAGCTATATCAGGAAGATTTGGGTGAAAACCCAGAGATTAAACCAAGGACAGTCCAACAACAAAAATAAAATAAGTAGAAACAAATTTTATGAAATATGTTCAACACCTACAGACCCAAACATGGACAAATCTTGAAGAAATTATGCAAAGTGAAATAAGCCATGGCGTGAGGAAAATATCACTTTATCTCCATAGTCATCCTCCCAGTAATACATAAACCCAGTCTTAGGGTAAAAAATCAAATTCCAATAACAGGAATCCTACAAAACATTGAACTTGAATTCCTCCAAACTGACAAGGTTTGCTGGGAATCCCAGCACTGTGGAAAGCTGAGGCAGGAGGATGGTAAATTTGAGCCCAGCCTGGGCAACTCAGCAGCTTAGTGAGACCCTGTCTTAAAATTTAAAAAAATAAAAAGGACTGGAGACATAGCTCAGTGTGAAAGCTCTGGGTTCAATCCCCAATACTACAGTACCAGAAAAAAAAAATCTCAAGGTTATCAAAAACAAAAGTGTGAGAAACTGACACATCAGTTTCAAACCCTGCCCATTTCAAAAACTGGACTGAGTCTTGACCAGCCTCTGAGGGACAGCCTCTAAGCCTTTGGAAGACCCTGCCTAATGAGAATATCTTTATGTTCCTGGGTCCTTGAGCCATGCCACAGAGTCTGTGCCGACAGTGGGCCCTTGTCCCTCAGTTTGACTTCTGGAGTACCTGGAGACCAGGTAACTGCAGTCCATTCTATAGATCCTTTAGGGTGACATAGCTAACCCTGATTTTTTTTTAAAAAAAATCTAGACACAAGGCTCAGGTGACCTTCCCTGGTTGGCCGTGCCTTGTATGTGTTCTCATACATTGCTGAGAAAATTAAGTGCTGTTCATATAACTTCACTGGGAAAAGATAACTGGAATCACACCTCTGGTCTCACCTCGACCCCGGCTTATACACTATGTAGTTTTCCTTGGCTTATTTTAATCTGTATCATCTCATGATAATAAAGTATAATGGGGACTATGAGTCCTTCTAGTGGATCATCAAACTTGAGTATGATCTTGGGACCTCCCAACATAAAGGTGAGAACACAAAAATAAATCATCCTTGTATACATAGATGGTTTCTGATGGTGGCAAGAGGACATGGCAAAGTGATTGGGTAAGTGGGTGCGACCTGTTAATTACAAAGTTCCAGGGCACATGGGAACATTTCCCAAAGTCTTGGACATGGCACCAGTCAGAGAGTACTATCTTCAGTTCTTCTCACAAGAACTCAAATGGGTTTTTGACAGGATAGCCCAGACCTAACATCAGCCTAAGGAGTGGGAGGTACATAGAGACAACCACCCCTGAGTTTGAGCCATTGTGTTCTCTCTTTTATGGTGGTTCACTCTCACCCAGAATAGTATACTTCTTTTCCTATTTTTAACTGGCCCAAACTCACTCTGCAAAGGGTATTTCTTTTCCTACCTTTAATAAATGTAAAACCTTGCTACCTTTTGCCCTTGTCTTGACCAATTCTTTGTTCAGGACAGAAACAACCTAGAAAACCTCTAGGAGACCCTAGAAGCCCTGGACCCACTAACATTATGATAGTTCAGTTTAGGATTTTTTTGATTTATGATGAGTTCATCGGAACACTATGCCATCACAAACTAAGGATCATCTGTATTTATAATGCACAGCTGTAAAATGAAATTTAAAACACAATTCGATTTACAACAGCAAAAGTATAAAATAAGTAGGAACAGAGAGCCACGCCTTCGACCACCCTAACCGCCATTGCTCAAGGGCCGGGAAGATAGCCACGTGCAGGCGCTCCTGAACCCCCAAAGTCTCCCCGCCACATACACGGGCACTCTCAGACCTCCTGACTGTGCCAGTCTTTGGACCCACTCTGCAGAGGCAGAGGTGGTCATCAAGGGTATGTTTCTGAGTTCCCAACTGTGAACATCTTTAAAGAAAGGGCGTGGGAAACCTGTAGTAGAATGGTGTGGAGTTCAACCATTCAGAAGGATGGGGAACTCAATCTGGGCCTTGCAGTCCGAGGTCAGTCAGCTTCATGGGGTTCAGCCATCAGCTAACAGACCAGGGGTCTTGCATCTTCATTCTGTCTGAGCCATTAAATTGTAAATACACTATATTGAAATTTTTTTCACTGCAGACATGTTCTGGACTGCTTCTTGATTTCAATTTAATTCAAATGATTTAAGGGCCATAGACTAGTGACTACCACAGGTGGTCAGTGTCCAAGTTGTGCTTGATCTTACTGTGTTGCTGATTGTATCAGTTGGGATAAAGCATTGTGGTTGATTTGATGAGCTGTTTTCTCTGATGTTATGAAGATAAGAATGTCTGTGGGTCGTTAGAGACACAGAAGCTAGGGCGCAGCTATATCAGGAAGATTTGGGTGAAAACCCAGAGATTAAACCAAGGACAGTCCAACAACAAAAATAAAATAAGTAGAAACAAATTTTATGAAATATGTTCAACACCTACAGACCCAAACTACAAAGTATTGTTAAATAATTACAGAGTTTGCATTTCACTCTTTTTTATACATGAAATTCTTTGATGAGATTCTCCATCTTTCCCTCTATTTTCTAAAACACATTAATCATAGTTATTATAATGCTTCTGTCTGGCCACTAGGTAACTGAATCTCCTATGGGACTATTTCTTCTGTCACTTTTGTTTTGTCTTTTGCTTTTGGGGTCAGCAAGACTGTTTCTTGGCATGCCTGTTTAGTTTTTATTAAGTACTGAATACCATGTATGATGAATTGTAGAGGCTCTGCTTTGTGTTATCGTCAGCAAAGAGGATTAAAATATCTCAGGGCCTCGTGCTGCCATTGATAGAGGTAGGCAAACTGAATCCAGCATTTCCCTTCTGCATAGGTCACTTTGCTTTACAGTAGTTATAATTATACTGAACATTTATTTTGTACCATTTCCCTCTACTTCTGGGCCCAGAAGTTGGGAGGTGAGGGAGGTGTAGGGAGAGAGGTGGATAGACACAGATGAGTAGTATGTAGGATGTGATCTCCACATCTCTTTCCAGGACAAGTGGGAGAGGACCATTGCATAGACCTGTGTCTGAAATCCTCTGAACATGTATCATAATGACTTGGACACAGTTGCAGAGCATGTTTTTGTCACAAGAAGTCGTAGTTATTTCTTCAAAAAGTAAATTGAGGGGCTAGAGATTTAGCTCAGTGGTGCCACCACCTGCCTCGCAAGCACAAGGTCCCGAATTTGATCCCAGGTACCAAAAAAGAAAAAGTAAATTGAAGCTAAACTTGAGGCAAGGTCAATTCTAGAACCCCAGACACCTGACTTCCAATCAGGGCTCTATTCCATTAAACCCAGACTTCTGGGAAGATGGCAGAGTGATAACAAGCAACAAATCAACCTCTCTAAGATTCAGAATCCAGACATTGGAAAATAACAACTTGAGGAACAAAAGAAGAAGGACAGGTCTGCGATCACCGGCGGCGTGCGCGTGAGCTCCCGGCCTGCGCGTGAGCTCCCGGCCTGCGCGACAACAGACCCAGGAAGGACCCAAGGACCCCAGAGGGGGTTTTTTTCAGCTGCCTGCCTACCTGCC